CATCCACACTCAGTCTCAAACAGCTTGTGAGCCACAAATACCAAAATGAGTGGCTAAGTGCGCTAAAACGTTCAAATACATACAAAATTATGTAAAAATGCCCGTCTTGGCGAGTATCCAGTTAAACACAGTCAGTTTTGGAACGTTAAATAGTCAGAAAGAGACAGTATATTGGGTCCGTGGATAAACTCTTAAAGGGACCGCAGTCCAATATTCCTGCTGCTGTCTGTCATGTTAATCAAAGAACAAAAGACAAAGAAAATAATTTTCTGCTCTTGACTGAATACGTTTTATAACTTTAATGGTAAGCATTAATCTGTATTAAATTTTTACAATGAAGACTACAGAAATTAAAGCCTGAATAAACTGAATAAAAACTTACTTAACCTGAAAAACTTAGTTTCATAGCTCTCTTTATTCTATAGCTGCTGTTGTTATTTTATTACTGACTTTTTACTTGTTTTTTTATGAAAATAAAACTTTGCGTTGAAGAAAAGTAGATTTTTGTTTGTATATGCTGTCAATTATAGTTCTTAGAAAGAAAATCGGAATCGGCAAAAATCGGTATCAGCAGATCACACTAACAAAAATCGGAAATCGGAATCGGCCAAGAAAATTGCAATCGGTGCATCTCTAATTGCACCTTTAAGTTTTAATCTTTACTGAATGAGCGGCGGGCGCATGCACGAGTGTCAGACAGGCGGAAAAGAGAGACAATTAATAATCAGCACAAAAACATTCATTGTGCTGAAATATCTGTTGTTGAAAGTTAAATCGAGGTTTAAAGGTCAACATACATTTAAGGTATTTTATGAGAGTAGAAACTGTAAGGGGATAACAGCGTGTAATTGTCTGAATATATATATCAGACGCTTCATAACCGCCTTTAACAGGATAAAGAAATGACAGTAAGACGTGACCGTGATCAAAGTGAACATGTGTTCCTGCAGGACATTACTCGACATTACAACTGAGTTTGTGATTTTATTCGTCTTTATCATCTTTATTATTTACATTTTTAATGCAGAGATTTAAACTATATACATAGCCAATATAACTATATACAATGCTTAAATTTATTCAAACAAATTTATGTAAGGTTTTTAACAAATTATGGTTTGTGCCACTGCTGCTCTAAACTAACATTACCAAAATCATTTTTTAGCTTTCTGTATGGGTTATTGCTCCAATATGCGTAAGCTCTTTAGTAACAGTAGTAGGATATTTCTAATGCTGGGGTGTAAAGTGAGTGGTCATTGAAAATTTGTTCTGATATATGTTCTGAAAATGAGCCAAGGCCAATGAGTCCGAGTTTGAAAAAATAATTAATAGTACCATTTTTCTTTTGATAAAAAGTGAAAACGGGTCCCACAGACCTGAACACCAAGGGTTAACAAGGGTTAAATATGTACATTGCCTATAAATAAGTTTCAATATATAAAGCTTTTAAAATGACTAAATGTTATGTATTTTCTTTTGAGCTCTTTGTGAAAATATATAAAATATTAAATTCAGCTGATTCTTTTGCATAGTCAGATATTTTTTTTCTGCTGCCTTCTAAAACGTTTGCTGCAGCATCTGTGTTTATCTGTGCATTTAAATTAATTATATTTTTAATAACAACAACAGCTCTTTTTTAACAGAAGTGAATTGCGCTGACTCTCACAAGAAGTGAATCAAACTGAAGCTCTCCATGTTTCGTGTGATTGGCTGTTTGCTGCACGTGTCACACTTTCAGGTGCACACAAACTCCGGTTCAAACTCTGATTTGACAGAGAACATTTATATCGAGGTTTGTGAGCCCACTGATCCTGATCTAAACCAGGTTGGATTTGTCTGGTTTTGTCAATTCTAAACCTACTCTAAAACTCAGAGTTTGTTCATCTCCCTTCGTGCTACAGGCCACTGGCTGTCGGTGACAGGACTTGCATGTTTTTTTTCCCACAAGTTCCAAGTTTTTCCAACATGTTCACTACCTCTGGTTTAAGAAGCAGTCTTTTACTTTAGCTTGAAAACCAAATCCTCCACCCGCCATCGTTTCCTTGATATTCGCGTCATTTTTGCAGCGTGCTGCTCGCACCTTCACGCTCGTTCTGACACTGCACATATAAGCCAGGCTCTACACCTGAAGCGCTTGCACTGAAAGCGCCTCTCTTCACGTGATCAGTGAATTCTACGGTGGCCGAGAAGTGCTAAACAAATCACAATTCTGAAAACAAAATAACAAATTACAAACGCAAATGCAAGTATAAAAAACAAAATAACAATTCAGAAAGCACAACAACGACAAATCAGACAAACCGGAAGAGGTAGGTATAGTTTGAGACAGCGCCATTGGTTTGGGATTACTCACCGCTGACTGGATGAGACATCTGTCAATCAACATATACCATTTATACATTTATATTTAGTTAAAAGTGGCTGTAAAACATAAGTTCTAGTGGCGCAGATGGTTAAGCGCTTGACATTGGCTTTTTGACGCGATCGACCTGGGTTCGATCCCGCCTTTTGCCAAACTTTTTTTTCTCCCAATTTCTCCCAAAATAATCCAAATTTGACATTACCCTACACACATACAATGGAGGAAATGAAAAACAATGGTTTCATTGTAAAGAAAAAGTGCAATTCTTTATAAATAACATTATATATATTTCAAATATTACAATAAACACAAAAAAACATAGGCGCTTTTGGAGTTTTAAAACAAATTATTTTTTGAAATTCTGTAATTCAGGTTCTATTAGGTCCAGCTCTTTGCAATTTACTTTGTTTGATGCCACTAGATGCCAAAAAGTACCAGAAAAAAATAATCTTTCAAATAACAGCTTCTAAACAGGAGTTATTACATTATAATCACTTATTGTTTATTCTACAATCAGTTTAATTATTTCAGGATGCACAAGACTTTCTACATTATAAAATATATCTGGTCTATCACAATCTAAAATAGAATCCATATCCTCCAGCTTTATATAATTCCATTTATGTGCGTTCTGTATTGGGATACTGATTCACAGCATCCTCTTACCTCATCAGCTGATCCATTCCTGTATCCAGCGCATCTCTCTGACAACATCGTTGCATCCCTGGACCAGAGCTGAGCTAATTCGCTAGCCGGCAGCTATCTCTAACATTCAGAGCGTCAAACAAACACATATCAGTTCATCCACACAGCACTGTAATAATCCATGTATAT